GAGACATGAGAGTCTGAGGACAGAGACATGAGAGTCTGTGAGGACGAGGACAGAGACATGAGAGTCTGTGAGGACAGAGACACGAGAGTCTGAGGACGAGGACAGAGACATGAGGACGGGGACAGAGACATGAGAGTCTGTGAAAGTGGAGCTCATGCAAATGAATCACAAAATAAACACAGGCAGGGAAATGAGATCTGGTCTCTAATGAGTCCTGGTGTCCTCGTCTAGTCCTGCTTTAGTCCCTGGTCCAGTCCTGGTTCAGTCCTGGTTTAGACCTGGTTTAGACCTGGTTTAGTCCTGGTTTAGTCCTGGTTTAGTCTCCGGTTTAGTCTCCGGTTCAGTCCTGGTTCAGTCCTGGTTCAATCTTGGTTCAGTCTTGGATCAGTCCTGCTTTAGTCCCTGGTTTAGTCCTGCTTTTTAGTCTCTGGTTTAGTCCCTGGTTTAGTCCCCGGTTTAGTCCTGCTTTAGTTCGGGTGTAGTCTCCGGTTTAGTCCTGCTTTAGTTCGGGTGTAGTCTCCGGTTTAGTCCTGGTTTAGTCTCCGGTTTAGTCTCCGGTTTAGTCTCCGGTTTAGTCTCCGGTTTAGTCCTGGTTCAGTCTTGGTTTAGTCTTGGATCAGTCCTGCTTTAGTCCCTGGTTTAGTCCCCGGTTTAGTCCTGCTTTAGTTCGGGTGTAGTCTCCGGTTTAGTCCTGCTTTAGTCCTGCTTTAGTCCTGCTTTAGTCCTGCTTTAGTCCTGGTCTAGTCCTGCTTTAGTCCTGGTCCTGGTCCCGGGGCAGGTCCTCACTCTCGTAGGTGACTCCGCCCCAGCCGTGGGCGCCTGGATACTGTCGGAGTCTCTGGTACTGATCTGGACTCAGGTGCTTGAACCACTGCAGAACCGGGACATCAAAGTTAAACCGGGACTCAGACTCCGAGTGTGGAACCCGTTTACGGAAGACTGAGGGGGCAGTCCTGCAACCAGAGACAAAGTTTAAAACCAACAACAGGACTAAACCAGGACTAAAACAGGACTAAACCAGGACTAAAACAGGACTAAACCAGGTCTAAACCAGGACTAAACCAGGACTAAACCAAAGCTAAACCAGGACTAAACCAGGACTAAACCAGGTCTAAACCAGGACTAAAACAGGACTAAACCAAAGCTAAAACAGGACTAAACCAGGTCTAAACCAGGACTAAAACAGGACTAAACCAGGACTAAACCAGGTCTAAACCAGGACTAAACCAAAGCTAAACCAGGACTAAAACAGGACTAAACCAAAGCTAAACCAGGACTAAACCAGGTCTAAAACAGGACTAAACCAGGACCATAACAGGACTAAACCAGGACTAAACGAGAGCTAAACCAGGACTAAACCAAAGCTAAACCAGGTCTAAACCAGGACTAAAACAGGACTAAACCAAAGCTAAACCAGGTCTAAACCAGGTCTAAAACAGGACTAAAACAGGACTAAACCAGGACTAAACCAGGTCTAAACCAGAGCTAAACCAGGTCTAAACCAGGACTAAACCAGGTCTAAACCAGGACTAAACCAGGACTAAACCAGGACTAAACCAGGTCTAAACCAGGACTAAACCAGGACTAAACCCTAAACCAGGACTAAACCAGGACTAAACCAGAGCTAAACCAGGTCTAAACCAGGACTAAACCAGGTCTAAACCAGGACTAAACCAGGACTAAACCAAGTCTAAACCAAGTCTAAACCAGGACTAAACCAGGACTAAACCAGGTCTAAACCAGAGCTAAACCAGGACTAAACCAGGTCTAAAACAGGACTAAACCAGGACTAAACCAGGTCTAAACCAGAGCTAAACCAGGTCTAAACCAGGTCTAAACCAGGACTAAACCAGGTCTAAACCAGGACTAAACCAGGACTAAACCAGATGATACGGTTCAATAAAAAAAAAAAAAAACGACAAAATCATGTCTGTGACACTAAAAGTCTTTGTTAATCCAAGAGCAAAGTTCATATGAAACAAACATTTTAATCATCAAAACAGTGAAAATATCAAATGTGTCACATAAACGAGTTTCCTTCATCTGAACAAACAACATGAGTCTGAGGACAGAGACATGAGTCTGAGGACGGGGACATGAGTCTGAGGACAGGGACATGAGTCTGAGGACAGAGACATGAGTCTGAGGACAGAGACATGAGTCTGAGGACAGGGACATGAGTCTGAGGACAGAGACATGAGTCTGAGGACGGGGACATGAGTCTGAGGACAGAGACATGAGTCTGAGGACAGAGACATGAGTCTGAGGACAGAGACATGAGTCTGAGGACAGGGACATGAGTCTGAGGACAGGGACATGAGTCTGAGGACAGGGACATGAGTCTGAGGACGGGGACAGTCTGAGGACGGGGACATGAGTCTGAGGACAGAGACATGAGTCTGAGACGGGACATGATGACGGGGACATGAGTCTGAGGACAGAGACATGAGTCTGAGGACAGAGACATGAGTCTGAGGACAGAGACATGAGTCTGAGGACAGGGACATGAGTCTGGACAGAGACATGAGTCTGAGGACGGGGACATGAGTCTGAGACGGGACATGAGTCTGAGGACAGAGACATGAGTCTGAGGACGGGGACATGAGTCTGAGGACGGGGACATGAGTCTGAGGACGAGACATGAGTCTGAGGACGGGGACATGAGTCTGAGGACGGGGACATGAGTCTGAGACGGGGACATGAGTCTGAGGGACATGAGTCTGAGGACAGGACATGAGTCTGAGGACGGGGACATGAGTCTGAGGACAGAGACATGAGTCTGAGGACGGGGACATGAGTCTGAGGACAGAGACATGAGTCTGAGGACGGGGACATGAGTCTGAGGACGGGGACATGAGTCTGAGGACGGGGACATGAGTCTGAGGACAGAGACATGAGTCTGAGGACGGGGACAGAGACATGAGAGTCTGAGGACAGAGACATGAGTCTGAGGACAGAGACATGAGTCTGAGGACAGAGACATGAGTCTGAGGACGGGGACATGAGTCTGAGGACGGGGACATGAGTCTGAGGACAGAGACATGAGTCTGAGGACAGAGACATGAGTCTGAGCACGGGGACATGAGTCTGAGGACGGGGACATGAGTCTGAGGACAGAGACATGAGTCTGAGGACAGAGACAGAGACATGAGAGTCTGAGGACAGAGACATGAGTCTGAGGACAGAGACATGAGTCTGAGGACGGGGACATGAGTCTGAGGAGACATGAGTCTGAGGACAGAGACATGAGTCTGAGGACAGAGACATGAGTCTGAGGACGGGGACATGAGTCTGAGGACGGGGACATGAGTCTGAGGACAGAGACATGAGTCTGAGGACAGAGACATGAGTCTGAGCACGGGGACATGAGTCTGAGGACGGGGACATGAGTCTGAGGACGGGGACATGAGTCTGAGGACAGAGACAGAGACATGAGAGTCTGAGCAACAAAACTGTAGCTGTAACAAAATAATTTAGTAAATTGAGGCAGACGTATCAAGGTATGTATCGTATCGAGGCCTACGTATCGAAGTATGTATCATATCGAGGCCTACGTATCGGAAGTATGTATCGTATTGTGGCCTACGTATTAAGGCCTATATTTTAAGGTATGTATCGTATTGTATCGTGGTCTACGCTTCGAGGCCTACGTATCGAGGTATGTATCGTATCGAGGCCTACGTATCGAGGTATGTATCGTATCGAGGCCTACGTATCGAGGTATGTATCGTATCGAGGCCTACGTATCGAGGTATGTATCGTATCGAGGCCTACGTATCGAGGTATGTATCATATCGAGGCCTACGTATCGAGGTATGTATCGTATCGAGGTACGTATCGTATCGAGGCCTACGTATTGAGGTATGTATCATATCGAGGCCTACGTATCGGAAGTATGTATCGTATTGTGGCCTACGTATTAAGGCCTATATTTTAAGGTATGTATCGTATTGTATCGTGGTCTACGCTTCGAGCCCTACGTATCAAGGTATGTATCATATCGAGATATGTATCGTATCGAGGCCTACGTATGGAGGTATGTATCATATCGAGATATGTATCGTATCGAGGCCTACGTATCGAGATATGTATCGTATCGAGGCCTACGTATCGAGGTATGTATCGTATCGAGGCCTACGTATCGAGGTATGTATCGTATCGAGGCCTACGTATCGAGGTATGTATCGTATCGAGGCCTACGTATCGAGGTATGTATCGTATCGAGGCCTACGTATCGAGGTATGTATCGTATCGAGGCCTACGTATCGAGGTATGCATCGTATCGAGGCCTACGTATCGAGGTATGCATCGTATCGAGGCCTACGTATCGAGGTATGCATCGTATCGAGGCCTACGTATCGAGGTATGTATCGTATCGAGGCCTACGTATCGAGGTATGTATCGTATCGTGGACCACGTATCGAGGTTTGTTTCGTATTGTGGCCTACGCATCGAGCTATCGTATCGTGGACCACGTATCGAGGTTTGTTTCGTATTGTGGCCTACGCATCGAGGTATGTATCGTATCGGGAAGGACGCCCAGCCCGACCCAAAATGCACCAGAATTGTAGAATAAAATAAAAGTCCAACTCACCGTCGGAAGAGGGCGCTTTTCGGTGTAGTACGAGTCTCCAATAAACGAGGGCTCCGTGGGTTTAGGTTCAGGTTTAGGTTCAGGTTTAGGTTCAGGTTTAGGTTCAGGTTTAGGTCCTGGTTTAGGTCCTGGTTTAGTGGTCGTTCTGGCCTTTGCTGGAATGGCGACTGCAGGAGTGGTTGGCTTTAGTGCAGTATTTTTTGCAGTACTATTCTTTGCAGTACTTTTGTCCTTTGCCTTTGCAGTATTGAGGTCTTCAGCGCCGACGTGAGCTCCATCCTGAGATCCTGCGACCTCGTCTCCTTTCCTCGTCTCCCCCTTTGTCTCCTTGTTCGTTTCATTCTGAAGCTCTAGAGAAGGTTCCGGAGCCGATTTGGAGGGAAAGTCTGCAGAATCTCTCGCGAAACTGAAAAAGAAAACACACAAAATTAACTGACAAATAAAGACGACGTACCTTTTACTTGGTGCATAAATCAGCCTCATAAAAACCAAGAGCAAATCATGGTTTGTAATGTCATGGTGATGTCTTTAGAGCTTGTAAAGAAAAACTTGTGAAGCCCACTCAAACATCTGGAGTGTGGTCAATATTTGATTGTTGTCAGTTGTTTGAAGACTGGTCCTTGCAGCCGAGTCTTTTACTGAGCCACAAAAACCATCACAAACAAAGTACCACAAATAATCTCCCCTTTATAACAAGCAGTTAGTGTTTAATTAAAGGTAACGGAACCTTTCTGCAGGTAGAAAAGTCCCAAAGCTTCACCAAAAATGGCCCGTGAGAGCTCATTTTCAAAAATTCCGTTTGAAATGAAGGAAGTTAATAGTAGATTTTTTATTTATATTTTAAACTAATCAGAATATGCCAAATTTATCAACATGTAACTGTGTCCACATGCGGAACCGAGGCTCCAAAGAAGGGGCCAAAAAGATCACATTTGGTCTTTGTCCATAGTTGAGACTCGACACCGTCCACATGAAAGCTCAGAAAAGTGTGAGATTGTTGTCAGAAATGTTCATTCTCTCAAATATTCAGGTTCAACAGTTAGTTTGTAAATATCTGCTGGGAGGTAATAGATCTTGGACCTCAAATATTGAAAAAAAAAAAAAAATTGAGCAGCAACCAAATGTCAGATTTTGGGGACCCACAGCGCCCCCCTTAATAAAGACACCCAATATTTGACAACAGATTCAGAATCTCTGACCAAGAATTTTCATCTTCCTGGCTCAATTTTTTATGAAGTTCTGGTCTTTCAAACATGATTATAAATTAAGGCTTCAGAAAAAGTGAGCAGGGCCCCAAAATTTCAATGAGCCATAACTCAGGAACGACTCAAGGGACTGAGCTAAAATTTGAGATTCTTTCATTTGGTGATTTTAGAAATTTTTTGAATTTTTTTCAGCCAAATCTGAGATGGCTCATAGGGGAGATTCCTTGAAAATGGATTGATCCTTGATTTCATACGGAATAACCCCACATGGGAAATCAGATGAAAGTCCCCCTGAAGTGTGCTTTTTATGAAACTAAATTAATTATCTATATTCATATAAATAAATAAAAAATCCATTATATATATTGTATTAATTACACACACAAGTTAGAATATATATCAACACATTTGTTCGTTCATGCAAACAAGACAAAAGTGAAAAAATGGACTCAGACTGCCGATGTCCAAATGCTTTTTTTTTTTTTTTTTTTTTAACTGCAAAATAAATCTTCGTCAGATATATTTCTTGCTTTGGACCACAGCACACAAAATGGTTGCCAGCCCAGCAACGCCCCAGAAACGTTATAAAAAAATAAATAAATACAAAAATAAATACAATAAAAAAGCGTTTGGACATCGGCAATCTGAGTGTGCTTGGCATTTATTCACTTTCGTCTTGCTGCTCCATCCCATTTGCATCTCTACAAGAATTTTTGGTGTGCGTTTTCTGTTTCAAATGTGATGCAAAAATGATGTTGCCTTGCAGTGTGTCAAGTGACTCCTTTTTTCCCTGTTGTGGGACATGAGCTGAACATTAATCACCACCAACTCTCCATGACGTCACCTCTGGAGCGCAGGAGTGAGTCAAACTACTATTTCAGGACTTTCTTACACATTTAGAGTTAAGACCTTCGTAAAAGTGATTCAGAATGATTTTTGAACAAATTCTGTAGTAATTCTGTAATTGCTTACACATTTGTTCATGGCAAATAAAGAAATTGATTAAACAGTTTAATCATTACACAGTGTCAGCCTTTTTGTAGAAAATTATTCCATGGAAATGGGCCTCACATTTGACATGTGTTTAAATTATTACATTTGTGGCCCTCTGAAGTTGTACGAACATAGTAAATAAATAGTTAAAGGTTGTATAGAGGATTTTTTTAAGGGAAGAGAAGTACAGTGACAGTCCACCTTCCTCCTCCACAGCTCCTCAGTAGAAACATCTCCTCCCGCCTCTTTACTCTAGAAATCATGTTTGTTTACAGCCAGCGCGCGTTCAGAATTACTGTTGAAGTGACCTGTCTAGAAATAATTTATCGACCGACGCATCAGTTTTTAGTCCCTTCGTCTGCTTCAGTCGCGCCATCGCTGGAAGGAATCTCCAAGAATCACCTCGGTTTGTCTTCGCTCCTTTTCCCCTTCTCTTCGTCTTTCAGCGACCTCAAAAACCGACTTTCTTTTGCGGCGAACTGGTCGTGGATTCTCGTCCGCCATCGCAACAAACTTTAACATATTAACAATTAACGATCGATTATCGATTAATCATTAACATTTTTATATTAAAATGATCATCATTATTATTACTATCTGCACTAATCTGCATAAATAAATTCAACTTTACGACATATAAACATAACGACTCTAGAGCCACATCAGCTGTTTGACATTATAATGTGTTTAATTCAGTTTTGTTCAAATCTCACAGAAACGAAACTTAAAACAGCATCACTAATTTACATAAACTAAGAGAAGATAAAACTCCAGCTCTTGTGTCGCTGATGCGGTTCAGTTTCTGTTGGATTAAAAGACATGACTCAGGTGAATACAGGTCAGTGTGACCAGATTTGTGTTTGTCAAAACCAGGACAGCGTACGGGGGGAGGGGGGCGGGGCCTCGTCATCCACACTGAGCGACTTTCACCTGGAAAAACTTTTTCCCACTGGACACAGAAACATATGTGCTGCTTTATACACTGTGCACATGGACTCACACTTGTCCCAACGCAACGGAAAGTGTGGAATTTCTTCTACAAATCCTGGTTAAATCCACATTTGTGCTTCGGTTCGTTACAGACTGACCCACTGTTTGTGTCTCGCTCCTTCTGATGCAGAGACACATGTACACACCTGTTTGGTCACGACACACACAGCAACATACATTCGGTTTGACAATTAAAATTAACGTAATCGATGAAATTCTTAATGATTAATTATCAATTAATCGATTAATCATGCCCATCCCTAATATATATATATATATATATTTTTAAATGCACAATGATAATGTTAAATTTTTTATGTATTCATAAGGTGGAGGCTTTAATATTTCGCCCTTTTGGGTTTTTTGCCTCTTCCGGGACCTTTTTATCTTACTTTTTATCTAGTGTGTTTCTTTTTATTGTCATGTTATATGTGCAAAATAAATAAATAAATAAATAAATGAATAACACGGACATTTTTGTAAAATCTTGATTTGATTGCTCAATTGACTAAAACACATTTGAAACTGGTACATTGGGAAAACAAGTCTTTGTTTTTTGCACTTTATGGATGTCGTATCGATTTGGCCTTTTTATTTAGAATTGAAATTAATTGTATTTGTAACAGGTTAAACTGAGTTACAAAGGCTTGTCACATGCACTTTGACAGTTTTATTTTATTGTTTATTTTTGCTGTGGAGTGCACTTGCATATGCAGATATACAGATACATTTGTTGTTTTACTCCTTCGGCCCAAATGAATGTGCTGCTGTCTGTTATGTTATATGGTAAAAATTGTAAAATAAAACAAAAACTTGAATAACAAGAAAGGTCTTAACTATTTATTTACCATGTTCGTACAACTTCAGAGCGCCACAAATGTAATAATTTAAACACATGTCAAACGTGACGCCCATTTCCATGTAATAATTTTCTACAAACAGCTGACACTCAATCCACTTTAAACAGAGACACGCCAAAAGAAAATAACCATAAAAGATAACGTAAATCCCTTTGCGGATGTTCAAATCATTAACATTAGTTCTATTTGTCTTAGCTGAAGTTAGTTCCTCCTGACAATAATTCAGTTTGTTTGCCCGTTGCTACGGTGATGCTCACAGCGTCGTGATGCAGAACGGTGATTAAATGTAGCCGGAACTACCTGCGCGGTTAAACAAGAACGATGCACGGCACAGTTACAGACGTACGACCACCATGTGTACGAGAACTGACGTACGTTATCAGAGACACAGAGACACAGAGACACAGAGACACAGAGAGACACAGAGACACAGAGACACACAGAGACACAGAGACACAGACACAGAGACACACAGAGACACAGAGACACAGAGACACACAGAGAGACACAGAGACACAGACACACAGAGAGACACAGAGACACAGAGAGACAGAGAGACAGAGACACAGAGACACAGAGACACACAGAGACACACAGAGAGACACAGAGAGACACAGAGACACAGACACACAGAGACACAGACACACAGAGACACAGAGACACAGAGACACAGACACAGACACAGAGACACACAGACACAGAGACACAGACACAGACACAGAGAGACACAGAGACACACAGAGAGACAGAGACACAGAGAGACACAGAGAGACACAGAGACAGAGACACAGACACACAGAGACACAGAGACACAGAGAGACACAGAGAGACACAGAGAGACACAGAGAGACAGAGACACAGACACACAGAGACACAGACACAGAGAGACAGAGACACAGACACACAGAGAGACACAGAGACACAGAGACACACAGAGACACAGAGACAGAGAGACACAGAGAGACACAGAGACACAGCAGAGACACAGAGAGACACAGACACAGAGACACAGAGACACAGAGACACAGAGACACAGAGAGACACAGAGACACAGAGAGACAGAGACACAGACACACAGAGACACAGACACAGAGAGACAGAGACACAGACACACAGAGAGACACAGAGACACAGAGACACAGAGACACAGAGAGAGACACAGAGACACAGAGAGACACAGAGAGACACAGAGAGACACAGAGAGACACAGACAGAGACACAGAGAGACACACACAGACACAGAGAGACACAGAGAGACACAGAGAGACACAGAGACACAGAGAGACACAGACACACAGAGACACACAGACACAGAGACACAACAGAAGCTGTTCTCAGGTCGGTCAGAACGGTGCCGG